TAAAATTAAATCAGTGTGGCCTAATAGCTAGCATGTGTCATCAGAGCTCGTCGGACCCGGTGATTTTAGCCTTCTTCCTCAACAACCTCGGAACCTCCTCGGTCCAGAACTTCGCCCGGGTCTCTCGCAGCCTGACGTCAGCGGATGACGTCACGTCCAACTTCAGGTACTCTTGCGATGACGTAGAGTGACGTGGCCAGTTCACGGTGTCGCGCATGCGTGCTGCTCCCGTTGAGTCATTGGGGTCCCTTTGGAAATGATTGGAAGAAAGAGTATTGTGACAATAATGTAGAAAACAGTAGCAATAAACAATGTATTGTACCTTTCAAATGTTGCAATAAACAATGTATTGTACCTTTTAAATGTTGCAATAAACAATGTATTGTACCATTAAATGTTACAATAAACAGTGTATTGTACCTTTCAAATGTTGCAATAAACAATGTATTGTACCATTAAATGTTGCAATAAACAATGCATTGTACCTTTCAAATGTTGCAATAAACAATGTATTGTACCATTAAATGTTGCAATAAACAGTGTATTGTACATTTCAAATGTAGCAATAATGTACCTGCTTTCAAATGTTACAATAAACAATGTGTTGCATCTTTAAAATGTTACAATAAAAATGCAACAGTTTACATACCCGTTAGCGGCAAAGTTGACCCAGTAAGCCATCATGTCCAGACTGAGCTCGCGTTCCTCCTGAGTGAAGTTGTACTTCCACGTGTCTGCCGTGTCGCCCGGCATCAAAGGGACGCCGAACAGGTAGTACAGATCGTCGGCGTGGTCGGCTTGGACGCGGGACGGTCTCGTCGTGGAGAAGTACGACGTGCGGTGCTGCAACTCGTAAAGGTACACTCCGACTGGATGAGCTGTGTGACAAAATAGACACAAATGTGTATCTTGTGTGGAGCATAGGTGGTATCTATCTCTTTTTCTGTAGCCCTTAATATGATGCAAACGGAGTTAATACGCCTCTCCTAATCTCCAAGCAGGTCCTACCGTGGCAACAGAAAGTATCAAATTGGCCAGGCAGTATCCATTCGCCGGAGAGGTCCATACGCCACCCAAGGAGTGACAAAGGCCCTCTCTAGCGAATGGATACTGCCTGGCCAATTTGATATTGTCTTTTGCCACCCTAGGATCTGCTTGGAGATTACGACTCTCCAATAACCGGGAGGTTTATTAAGGAACAGCTCTCCCATGAACAAGGCCTTTCCCCTCTGAAGAATCCACGCTCTACCCTACTAGAAGTCTGCGTTATGAAAATAGACAGATTAAAAATAACCTGCCGCTGCCCGGGCCATGAGGACAGTGGGCGCGGTGAACCACAGGTCGATCAGGAGCTGGATGTACTGGTCACGGGTGGCGATCGGGTCGTCTGGACTGACTGAGTCCAGGTACTGGTCAATCACTGGCTGCACAATCGCGTTGACATCACTGTCCTGTAGTGGAAGCGAGACAAGAGACAAATTAAGGTGTTTGATATACTATATAGTTGTCATGTCCATCAGCTGACTGTGCAGCGATCAAAGAAGTTGCTATAATCTGCAATGTCATTTCCATACCATTTCAAGTGTCTAACGTCGACTTTCATTATTCCGTTTGGATACCATAAGATCGCCATGTGTCATTGTGGCAGTCCCAAGAATGTCTTCGAATTTAACACCGAATAATCTGAATATAAACTTGCATCCATACAGCATGTTAGGCACCTATGATTATTTTACCCCAAAGAGAAGTGGAAAGAAATGTTGCCAAACACAGGCGCCATTACAAACGACCCAATGTTGTTGGTCAAAAATGTGCATGTACCGTATTGGATGATGAACGTTAAAACGTAACGCAGCTCACTCATGAGGCCTTACCAGAAACTGATCTGTGAACCATTGTATGTCGGTTAGTAGATGCTCTTCGAATTCAGTCCTGGTCATCCCGTCTGCATCGATAAATGTCTTCCCTAGCCCGTCCACCATCGTATTTCCGAACTCAAAGCTGTTCATTCCCAGTAGGTAGTCCACCCTATTAACCTGTTTCTTGCTCATCAGATCCTGGGAAAAGCACGTCGTAGTTTGCATTCAACCTTCTTACGCTTACGGCAATGGCACGGGATACATTAACGAAAGATCGCGAAACATCTTCATCAATACAATTAGGCATTAGCACCGCGATGTACTCAAACTTTGTTGAACTTTATTCCAATACAACGAGGACAGAGGGATCAAGTTTTCAACGACGATCGTCGCGTTCATCAAGGTAATTGATAACCAATCACTTCCGGACGTAAACCGTGATTTGAATAAAGTTCAATACTGTACTATTATTACTACCAACGCAGATGAACATTCATGAGAACTTCATCATTATAGAGATAGGTTAATAGATAGCAACAAATGCCATGATGAATCATCAATACCCATGGACTCTCTGGGAGAAAGTCGCCACCAAATACTGCAGTCGCGTTCCCCGGCAGGACAGCAAAGTCCCCGGTCATCATCACAGCAAGGGATTCGCCGGGTTGTCTGAAGCCAAAACAGGAAAACACGGCCAGTTTTGTATGTGTTGAAGTGCTTGAGTTCGCAATATGTACTATTTTCCTGCACTCATAAACTTAGCTTCTACCAGGCTTCGGGAAGAGGCTGGAAAGACTAGAAATTGACCAAATAAACAGGTAACATGCCGGCGGAATCATCTCCCGGCATCTGTCTATTTGGCCAATTCCCAGTTGCTTCTGACGCCTGGTATAGGCTAGTGAACGACCTCGATCAATCTTCCTCCAAACTTCTTAACTGAACATACCTTCTCAGACAGCTCATCATCTCTTCGTATGGTGTTGTGGGGCAGTCCGACCGACGAGCAAAGCTCTCAGCCCGTCTGACGTCACCCCTCCGTGTGACAGGTATTCCCGCCACGCCGCTCTGAGACACCGCTCGATGGAACAGGCCCGTTGCCATGGGCGACGCGACCAGCAGGGACACGGCCCAGCCTCCGCCCGATTCTCCAAATATGGTCACCCTGTCGGGATCTCCTCCGAAGCTCCTGATGTTCGCTTGTACCCACTGGAGAGCTTTCATCTGTCGTAAAAGGTAAAGGAAAGTCTGTATCCTTTTTGAGGCAGTAGGGCCGGTGGGTTGATAATTCACGTTGCCAAGGACATGGTGTTGGAAGGCGGGGTCAATCCCTCTACTTCTGCCACCTTTTACTTACCAAGGTTATAACGTCCTTGCCAACCGAACTCAGTTGCTAGTTTTTCCCCTGGGAAGTTATCTCTATATTTTGCCAATGTCTACTGTTTCAACTGCTGAAGCTTGGTAGAGGCTATGATCTGAGCACAAGTCAAAAATATCAGACTGGAAGTGTCTAGAAAGGTAAAATTTGTTAGTGTAAGTAGGGAGAATGAACTGACCACATCGAGTAGCCCGAAGTTGCCCGGTGCATCCTGGTCCAGTGTCGGCAGAAAACCCAGGTTGCCAAGGCGATAGTTGACGGTAACCATGACGACGTTCTGCAGAGCTGTGGGGATCTCTGCCGGGTACGAGTCGGCGCTGCCTGCTATCATCCCGCCGCCGTGGATCCACACCATCACCTGGATGAAAAGGAAAGGTACTTCGGATTATATCTGGTGCGTTTGACCAACTGCAAACGTTACGTATCCGCAAAGTCTCGTGTACGTAACTCTCGCGGGTTTACGTTCGGAAATTAAATGATTGGTCATTTATCATGATGAAGGCGAGAGTGGTCGTTGAAAAGTTGACCCTTTTTACCCTTTGTGTTGGAATGTAGTTCAACATTGTACTACTATTACTTCCAACCAGATCTTGTTGCCTTAAAAGAATATATCGTTAAGAGTCAAAATCAAGGGTGAAACACAAATCCAACTTTGGCGGCTCAACGGCCGCTCAGCAATCTATTTATTTAATCTCCAAGCAGATATTTTGGTGGCTGCAAAGACTGTATCCAGTTGGCCAGGCAGTATCCATTTGCCAGACAGTTCCCATTTGCCACCGTAATTAGGCTGAGGTAAAAAAAGTCACCAGTACAAAAAAAAGAGAGCCCGATAAAAATGCATAAAAACACGCCAAAAATAAGCCAAAGCGTAAACCTTTGGCTTTGCTTGGAGAGTAGAAACGACTGCACACTCACAGGTAAGTTGGAGGTAGGAGAAACGCTGGACGTGTACACGTTCAGAAACAAACAGTCCTCGCTGCTGGACTCGCTTCGCCAGAGAAAAAGCTCCTTCATAATCGGGTCCATTTCCCTCCCTCCCATGTCCATCATTTGGAGACACCTGCTTCCGAAGTCGGTGGCATCCCGGACGCCTGTCCAACTGCTCGGGTCCTGTGGGGGGCGCCATCTGCCGGAGAAGGAGAGAAGTGCAGATATACTGACACGTGTATGTGCATGGCGACCACCTGTTCCAATTTTATCGGTTTCCTCAGTGGTCTTCTTTTGCCATCCGGAAAGCCACGTACTGAATCGAACGCGTTTGAAATTGCTATTCAAGTTGCCATTCATTAGTTCCTTCATTCCTTTATTCCTTCATTTTCATTCATTCATTCAATCCTGCATATGCATAGCAACCACCTGTTTCGATTTTATCGATCTCCTTCCTTCCTTCCTTCCTTCTTTCCCTCCTTCCTTCCTTCCTTGCTTCCTTCCTTCCTTCCCTCCATCCTTCCTTCCTTCCATCCTTCCTTCCTCCCTCCCTTCCTTCCTCCATCCTTCCTTCCTTCCTTCCATCCTTCCTTGCTTCCTTCATTCTTTCCTTCCTTCCTTCGTTTCTTCATTCATTCCTTCCTTCATTCATCCCCCCTACCTGAGGTCGCCTACAGGTGGGGCGGCGTAAGGAATCCCTTTGAAGGTGAAGACTCGGTCAAAGACGGCGTCTCTGACGACAGAGGAGGTGGTGACCTCTGACCCCCTTACGTCTCCATAAGTGGTAGAAACAACAACGGCACCTACATTGTAAGACATGTACGCACTTCGTGATGCACGTCAGAAATAGTTTGGTATGGCCTTATACTGTATATATATGGCCTCGCAATATTGTTAGTGACCTAACTCTTATACGGGCCCCCTAAAACACGAAGGGGCGATCAGTACAGTCTCCTGGTTCCCGGGAGTCGAACCCGGGCCAGTATATGCTCACGAAGCCAACGCAGTAACCGCAATGCCAATGCCACCTTTCCATCTTTCACTAGCTAGAGGTTACACACGCACGTGTGTGTCTGTCTGTATGTGTGTGTGCGTGTGCGTGTGCGCGCACGCATGTGTGTGTGTGTGTGTGTGTGTGTGTGTGTGTGTGTGTGTGTGTGTGTGTGTGTGTGTGTGTGTGTGTGTGT